TTTTAAGAAGCCGCAGATGTGATTTATCCTGATCACGATCTAATGTTTGGAATGGCTGAAAGGTGTAAATTAGCTTTTTTACAAGGGGAAGTAAAAGTAATTAGATTCCTATTACGCCTTTTCTTCTTGGAAAGAAATAAAAATAATTTGATACACCCTGATATCTAGTAAGAGTCGCATCTTCTCTTCTTCCGTATACACTGCCAGCAGCCTGTCCTGGATATCAAATGCATACTATGGAACTTCTTGCTAAAAACCAGAACTTCTCTTGTTTTGTACCAAAATCTATATAATTTTAAGGTATTTTACTTCACGGAAGGAAATTCGCGAGAAACAAAAGTTTTCTAGAAAACGGCGGCGCAAAAGCTGGACAGGGTCAATCTTTCCCTCACCCACTTCCGACTCGTTTTCACAGTCAACTACGAATGAAAAACGCGCCTAAAAAGCTGCCTGGTACGCAAAACTACTATTTATTTACCAAATCTGAGGCGCCCAATTTATTCATTTCATCAAGCCACCTTAATCTTCTTCTGAAGGTTAGCGTTTTGAAAAACCGGAAAAAGTTTATACGTACATACAGTTAGCTAAACCCTGGTGGAAAGCGGCACGTTATAATTTCTTACCATAATTTTCGCCGCTGGCAATCTTCCACCTTGGAGGCGCCGCGGCGGAAAACAGCAAAAATTTCACGTCTTGAGAAAAGTGTTTCTTAAAAAAATGATTCTAAGGGGCCGACCATTTAACTCTTGAAAGGGGGGGGGATTTTGAAAAAAATTTTCCTGTAAGGCAGGTGCTTCGCTTGTCGGAAGAAAAAAAATTGCATGCAGCACAAATGTAATAGAAAGCTTATGGGAAAAAAAGGGAAAAAAATATCCCGCCCACCAGATTGCTAGAAAAAAAATTCTTGATGACCAGAAATCACAAACCGCCCCCACCCCCACCCCCACCCCTCAAGAGTTCAATGGTCGGTCCCTAAATTACCATTGAAGCCGCTGATTTGATATCCTCATTTCCGGAATCTGAAAGGATATAAATTATTTTATTACAAGGTGAAAAAGGCCGGATTCGTAAGTGACATCGAATTCGTCTGTACCATATCAGTTATAAGAAACAGCGACTTCCTATTTTGACTGCACATATGGATGAAATGGACAGTAAAACTATAATGTCATTTTGACAACGTTCAGGAACAAATTAAAGAAGAAAAAAAACTTTGTGTTTTACCATATCAGTTAAGCGAATCATATAAACTCTCATTAACTTTTTTCGGTATTCCAAAACACGTCACAACAACTATGACAACAGTTTAATTAAATTTTGGATGAGATGACAAGTTAAAAAATAATACCGAAAAATCCAACGAGCTATCATGACATTTTTCACGGATAAAAAATCGTTGCAGATATTCAAGGCCACCTTTTATTCCATGTCACTTACATGACGAGGTGTAATCTGGATAAACAACAATGCCCCTTTAAACTTAGCGTGATCGACAGCTTGTCAATCAATAAAGTTCGTATTCATCTCTGTCTACTTTCCCTGCAATGTTTCGAATTGTTATATGAAAAATTCCTCAGCTTCTTTGTCATTTGTAGTCTGTTTGATTCTCAAGTAAATTTAAGCCTGGCTCCGTATCTCATTCGTGATTTTTGTGCGTAATTTCAATTGTTAAAAACATGAACGAGGAATGATAGATGGAAAAGTAAACTAAACTCTAAAAATCTTATATTACTTATCCAAATTACCTGGGCACGTGAACTTCCACGCCCCATGTTGTTCGAAACTTTTGCAACCAACGATGCCGGCCACTTGCTAAACGTTTAGGTTCAGTCCTCTGGATCAAAACATTGATCCTACGAAATCAGCTCGAAATGGTTTGAAGCATTACAATATGCAAGTGCAATTGGTGCTCATTGACCAGTACCAGACCTCCTCTGGCTAAATTTTTCCTTACCAACCGTTTTTACACGAAGGCTATTAGTAGCCGTTGTTTGGACCCACAAAAAGAAAACGGTTGGCTTTCTGTATAGTTGGCATTTCGACCTAAAGAATTTCTCAATATACCAGGGCGTGGCTTGACGGGTGATGCAGTTATAAGCAATTTTTAAAATGAAATGCCTTAAATTATTTGTCATGGGATATCTTGAAAACACATGCTACTTATTCAATTATTGAAGCAAGGACCAGCCTACAAAAGCGAAGGACCGGCTCCTAATGAAGGATCTAATCAGCAATAAGTGAAAATATTGATCAAAAGAAGCCAGGCTGATTTTACAGTCTGGAATATATATTTTACCAATATTTCAAATTGTAACGTCTTAGGCCGAGGTCTGAGATTTCCCTGTAATGACCGAAAGGACGACGTTCATAAGTTATTTATTACATGGCCTTTTCATTATGGACCTGAGCCTGCGATAAAAAAACGACAACTGGCCAGCGGATAACTTTATAAAACGTCACCTCAATGAGTTGTACACTTGAGCCCGTGATACAGTCAGGTGACACTGGTCAGCAGATGCCCTTTCTTGACAGCTGTCAGTTGATCATAACATATTTGTCCATAAGCATGTCCACTATCAAGTTAAACACAGATTGTATATGCCGTGGACACTTAGCTAGTCAATGCCCGGTCATTACAAGAAAACAGCCAATCAGAGCGCGCGTACTATTGTAGCCATGTAATAAGTTACATTGACCATGCCTCTTTGAAAATCTGAGAAATCTGTGAAGAACCAGGCTTTAACCTACTTGAGTTTCTTTTATAACTATGACTATTAAGAAATACGAATTTCATTTGAAACTCGGGTTTTATATTGTTTTTTAACAAGTTGCTTCGGCCTGTTCCGTAGAGGCCACAAGCATCGCCGAGATTGCATACCGCAGAACATGCAATGGGTTTTCAGCTTTCTGATTGGCTGTTTTCTCTATGGCATGGGATAAAAACACGTATACTGACAGATTAGTAGTGTTTCATCATGGCCGGGGCTATTCAACAGTATGCATGGATGCGCAAAAGTGCGGTTGCAAGGCTATCAGGCCATCTTTACGTGGCTGGGCATGCGTGACCAGACAGACTTTTGGTTTGTCCTTTACCGATTAATCAAGGTCGTAATTAGCGATAAAAATAAACAGTTCCAACGAATAAGTCAGTGCACTAGAGTATACTCAGAATTTTCCACCAATTACGAAAAGATTAATTTTCAAGCTGGATATGGAAGACCTTGCAGCGTTGACTTCCGTTTTAACTTCCGGCTTAACCAGAACTTCTAAACTTCCGGTATACCCAGAATCAGAGCGTCGAATCTATCTGTTCGTATTAGTCATAGTACTGTCGGAGCTGTCGACCGAGTTTCCCTGTGATAACGGCTTCATTTTTTTTCGAGGGGGTTTTCTGAAGACGGGATCTTTAGTAACTTGGAGAAATGGTAAGTTAAGGAATCTTGCCGCAGACATATTTAAATAGTTCCTTTTTACGCCTCATTATCTTAAAGTATAGCTGTGAAGACCTGCGATGGGCAGACTTTTATTAAGGGAAAACCCTTTTCACACCATATGCACTAGATCGCTAGTAGCTAGATAATTTCATTGAAGCTGCCAAGATTCATTGTCTAAAAGACCTTGTCTCTTCTGATCACTTTCTCCTCGCTGTTGCATGGTTATCGTAAAGCAAGGAACGGTTTGATTTATTCGCAGCATCTGCGTATACACTTGAAACTCTCTTAACCGACACGCTAAGTAAGCGGACAGCTCTACTTACGGCCACCTTCACAAAACCTCCGTTTTTGTCAACTCCCATACAAACTCTGTATTTTTACAGATGTCCGTAGGTGGACAGCTCTACTGACTTAAGGCCACCTTTTTAGCGTCCCGAGGGAGCTTGCCTACGAGAACTTCCACTGTATTCATGCTGCATTTTTGGTGCGTAAGCCCCCAAAATCACCCCACGAGACGCTAGCATCTTCACAAGGGTAATGTCGTCATGTATACGGCAGCTGCTGGGACTCTGTTGATTTTCCCTCGCGTCAATTACATCTTAGTCAGTTATTAGTCTGTTTGTTAGAGGCATCAATTAACATTAAAATGTTGCCATTGGTATGTGCTTCGTGGATTTTATGATGGGATCATTACAACATAAACGAGCAGATCTGAGGTTTTGAAAAGAGTTTGCATCACAGTTTTAGGTTTGAACTGTTTGAACTTAACATTACTGCAGCACAATAAGATGAATGCTGGGGCTACTCTTGGGATTTCTCATGACCTCGATACTTAGCAAGTAGTCACATGAATCACGGTTTTTCTTCTGAGTTGGTGTTGACTGGAGGGAGGGAGGGTGGGGGAATTGTCTTCACCCTGACCACCCTGCTTACGTAGTCAACACAATTCTTCAAGGACGTTCGGTGGTTAGAATTTTAAATCATCATGCATCATCTACTGGGAAATCCAGGGGAAATAGAGGGTCAGTCGCCTTTGTTTCATATTGACTACCGACTTCACAAGCAGCATACGAATCAGGAAATTTCCCTTTGGTTATTGAATATCAAAGTTAATTTTGGTAAATCACGCAAACTCATCGGTTTGTTTGTAACTTGAATAAAATTGACCCGACTCGTGATCTTTTGTCTCGATTCGCCGCATATAAGGGAATCCGGAACCCGGGAAATTTTTAGTTGTAAAATCAGGAATTCTGGGCTTTGGAACCCGGAATACAGCTCGAGGAATCTGGAATCCCACCGACGATTGAAATCCAGAATCCAAGTTCCAGTGACAAGGAGTGTGGAATCCAGTACACGGAATCCGGAATATAGGACGTAAAATGAGGAATCCAAACGTCTTTCCTGGATTCCCTTACTTGAGGCGAGTTGAGGTTCCTAATACTACAACTTGTAGTAAGAGTATTTTCAAGAAAAAATAAAAAGGGGTGCGTTTTTAACTGTGCTTTCTAATTGATTGAAGTTTGAATCTCTTTGCAGGTTAAGATTTTCGTTCTCCTGCTTTATTTAATGTTTCAAATCTTTCGTCTTCATACTTTGGGGATGTTTGCGGTTTTCATGGTGGAGTGTAGTGCATTTCACAACGAAACCAGCGTCAACTGTAACATCAACTTCACCACATACAAAACCCCTGGGTGTGGTCCTTACTGCTGGAAGGGCATGTGGGTGGCAAGTTCAGCCTTAACTAGTATCATCTGGCTATTTGTTCTCTGTGTTCCAGTTGCAAACAGGCACATTCAAGGCATGCGTCCAGCCTCCAATCTGCAAGTCATGCGTTACCTCGTTATCAAACCTTATTTCTGGTACCTAAATTTTATTGTTTTTCTCGTGGTAATCTACGATACGATAATTCTTTCCCAGAGGGATCAGAAGCACGTTAGCGGATCACAGAAGGTGGAAGCCGTGGTAGTAGTGTCCAAGCTACTCACAGTATGTCTGATTTTTCAACTCAACTTTACTTATCCTCCGAGTGGTAATCTTTCCCCCAGACGTCTCATCGCATCCTGCTACTACATAACGTTACTAATTTTTGTCCTGGACTACCTTTGTAAATTGATAGAGCTTTCTATTAGAATTGCATACAAGCTGTACAGTGTGAACTCCAGTGCATCTGATAGAGAGTTGCAGGTTATCGGTTTAATGCTGGAAGTTGCTGATGCTCTTCTTTATAAATACTTCACACACTTTTTCTGGAACAAAATTTTTCGGGGAAGGAGCGATGTTTTAATGATATATGCCCCCGATTTGGCCCAGTCTCTCGGCCTTTGATTGATTTTGAACGGCAGGTCGTAAATTGAAAGGACGGGACATGTTGCTAAGACAAGTCCCCTGTGAAGATATCATTGAAAATCTCGCATATTTTGTCCCCTCTTCATGAAATAGAAAAATTTAAATTCTGAACTGATTTCATACAGTGTGCTGCGGGGGTGCAATTTTACCCCCCCCTCTTGGAACATGATTTTTTTGGTAACGTGGGAATGTCATGCCAGAAGGCTACCATTTCCCTGAATGTAACTTGTTCTTACCAAGCGGGTTACAATCCCAGGAGTATGCTCAACAAATTTTTATATGGGGAGGTTCCTCCTCGAGGTCCAACCCTTTACCCTTTTATATACCATTTTTCAGGAAGACACCCCTATCGTATTCCGGCTTCTACTGACAAATGTTACACCCCTAGTTAAGAAATTTACATCTCTTTTACCTGCTGTAAATTCCCGGTCTTTTAATTGAATCAAAACCAGAACTGTTTTCCAGTTAGCTCTTTTGGGTCTTAAACAGACCCAAATGTACAGATTTCCCTACCCTTTCATATACCTAGTGCCTCAAAAAAGGTACTTATTTCGGGCGGAGTTCCCCCCTATAGGCCATCATGGGGAGTACCCCCCCGGGGGTTTCAAACAATACACGCTAATGCTTTGCTGTGGATGTTCATCTTATTTATGCTCAGCTTTTCTCCTTGTTGGAAATCGCGATGAATTATTTACTGTAGTTTTTTTAACCCTAAAAATAATAGACAACAATTTCGATTTCATTAAAGGCAGTAGTAGAGAGAACCTCATTTTTCTCTCTTCCCAGGGCGTGTCGCCTTTTCTCGCGCGGGGTGATTTTCACGCGCGCTCGTGTTTCGCTCGCTCTCCTATGCCTGAAGAAAAACGAGGGACTACTCGTAGTCTAGCGCATTGGGCACTCGATGCATGGGCTTTGGAATTTGGAAAATCCCACTGATGTCCTGATATGCTTTCCGGACATTTATTATTTTTTTCTGAAAAATAACTTTGGTTCAGAGCTTTTACAAGGGATGTTTCTCTGTGGAACAAAGTTACGGCGTGCTCTTTTCACGTTTGCAAAATCTTATCGCCCCATGTTAGGTCAGTAATCGAGGATTCCGGACTCCTTGTAGGTGGAAATTGGATTCCGGATTACAATCGTTAGCGGGATTTCAGATTCACTGAGCTCGATTCCGGATTCCAAGGCCCAGGAGTCCAAATTCCACAAGAAGAAATTTTTACATTCCGGACTCCATGACACAGTCTTTACCCAGAGTCTTCTGAGAATCTTGAAGTTTTTGTAGTAACAAAAGCTAGCGATCTCGCGATTTTCTGTCTCCAGTCACTTCTACACAAATCCCTAAACAATCAAGAAAAGGTGCAAAAAAACAACACAAAATAAACAAGCCAAGACAGGGGAATTCGAGAGAAATTACAAGATGCTTGATAACCCGGTTAGAAATGTAAATGTTACCATGATGATGTACAAAAAAATCTTTGTTTAGAGTCAAATTAAATGACAAGACAGTTCACACTAATTTGAATATTTTGTTGTAATAAGTGGAAGGCCCGTAACCAGGTTTTTTTGACGGGAAGGTACGATCCAACGAGGAGAGGGACAAAACGAGGCCGGAGGCGCAAGTCTCTAGGGGAGGGGGGGGAGTTACGTTGCCTGAGACTGCATTTCAAGAGATTTGAAGGCAGTGTGGAAAGAAAACAGGCAGCCAAAAGGCGAAATGTGGATATTTCTCAAAATGCTTGAACCCGAAAATTGATTTGTTTGCCAAAGAAACAACTTTATGTATGCATTTTAAAAATGAGAATGACAATGGCAATGTTACTACATGTATTTGAAAAGAAAGTTTTAAATCCGATTATTCACTAGGTTTGCTGCTGATCATCATGTTCTTTCACTAGTGAGCCAAGTTGGGTGCTTCTTAGCAAACAGATAAACGACTTCTTCCAGAGTAACGATCCAGGATTAACGACTCTTAATGTCTGTTAGATAGTACGTGCAAATCGTATATCTCTTATCCTGTGATCAGGCGTTTTTGTTACCTCGTTTCCCAGACAAAAAGGGATGAAGGACACCTGATCGCAGGTTATATTTCACTAATTACTTGAAACTGGAGAAATGTGACTTAATTAATGAGAGCAAACTGATAGACCACTCCCGCTAGGGCCTCCGCTTCCTAATGCCCAAAAATGTCTACGTTTTCGCATGTTTTCCTCCCTCAAGGTTTTTAAACGAAGAAACTCGGTTCTGATAAAGGCCTGCAGCCAGAAAATTTTCAATGATGGCAATTTCAATTTCTTTTTGTGGTAGTTATGGAAGAGAGGTATCCATTGATTGACAAAATCTGGCGGTGGCCTCTCCTCTTGCTCTTTTCGGCCCGTTTCCTCGCGATCTGTGTTAAAAACTGTTCAACTGTCCCAAAATTGAAAACGATTTTGCAATTTCATTGTAGGCACACTATCGCTAATTCACTTTGTTTTAACTCGTTAGCTTGTGCACAGACCCCCCACCTCCCCTCAGCAAAAATCGATTTTTACTGAGAGGAGGCGGGGTCTGTACACAGGCTATAAATCGTTGGTCAACAAAAAAGTGGCACTCCAGAGCCTGTGGGGGTGGGGTGCGAACCCACCCTTCGTAATCTCCCCTCCCTACGGGCCTGAGACGCAAGGACGCAGACTGTTCTTAAAAACCTCGTTCCCAGGGTCTTTCACAGGGTCCAGAGGAGATGTGTTTGTCGTTAGAACATCAAAAGCCGTCGAAAACCTCTGAAAAAATGGGTTATTTTGATTGCGTTACAGTTTCGTTAAACATTCTATAGACCGCAAACCAAGAGACTGAGGGCTTGCAAGATCGGCTTACAGTAATCCATTTTTTTACCCGGCACTTCGTGCCTCGGTCGCCCTTCAGTCACCTTTCGGGCGACGTGCCGTGCGCCAGCGGGGATATGGCTTGCGGTTATTGATACAACAAAGTCCATCTGGGTCAGATAAGAAGCGAAGAAATCGTTTACAGTAGATTCATAAAGATCCCATTGGGCTAATTAATCGTGCTAAGCGACAGGTATAGACATTTTTCAAGGTGAGACTTTAAATAAGTAATTCATTTATTTACAGGAAACTCCTCTGGACCCTGTGGGTCTTCTCGAACCTGGCGATGAGGTTGTAAAACAATAGCGCTTTCCGCTGTTACTAGAAATAGGTTGTCACCTTAGACCCCCCGCGTGACTCAGACAAACTTCGCATTCTACTCTAAGGCTTTGTATGGGAAACAAGCGTTTCCGATATGAAAATTGTTCACAAAATTCGCAGTGAGCGTTTTTGAAATGTTTTTTTTTTAGCTTAATTCCAAAATATAAAAGGCACTACTGCTATAGGGAGTAAAACCTGGTCCAGTAACTCAAAAAATGGGTAAAATCAGAAAATAAAGCGACTAGATCAAAGAGGGCTACTGAAATCGGATCCCTAGTAACATTATTGGCTGTGTAATACTCCAAAACCAAAATTGCTAAAGAGAAAATATCAGACAGAATATCTAAGGTGAAAAGCACACCAACATTAGCACTAACCGGAAATTGTATGAGTTTGTTCTGTTGTTGTGCGGCCAGGTAGACCATATGAATCCGGGACGAATACTTTAATACTGTAGTGCTAAATAGCACTCGAAAAAAATAATTGAGCAACCTTTGCCTATAAATTTAACCAAATGCACCGTTTCAGGGGCGGATCAGGATTTTTTTTAGGAGGGGGTGCACTCGTCTCTTGCTCTACTTCAACACCAATAAACCACATAGTTCTTTTTTTTTCCAGAATACCAGTTGTATTCACGGAAAACCGCAGGTCATCTCAGGGGGGGGGGGGTGCGCACCCCCTGCACCCTCCCCCTAGATCCGCCCCTGCGTTTCAAGCACAAGTATAAAGCCCTGCTCTCCACGCCTTTTAACATAATTTCGCCCACAGTATTATGACGCCGCATAAGAAATAAAACCACCCATCTGTACAGTCTTTTCCTTGTTTAACGCTGTCTTGGCACGCGTTGATTATTTTCAGGATATTTATTATCGGAACCAAGCTGGATTTTGTTTCCTTTAACGATAAACATCTTCAAATTAAAGACGGCGATACTACTATCTACTAAGGTAAATAAAACACTCCTAAGCGAGCTTCCATATTTCAATTACAGCGATCTAATTTCCGCACATGGCCAATTTAATAATTCTCTTAGTTCCTCTCTTCCTACCAAAAAATATCTTGATCGTCTCCCAAGTTATTACGACCTTGATTTATTTACTCTGAATACATTCTTAGATAGAAGCTCCGACTCCAACACTTATTACTCTAATGCAAGATGTAAATACTTCTCTCCACATAGTTTTTGTGATCAAAAAAGTAAGTTTGCTACTAATCCCTATCCAGATTCTAATATTTCGTTTATGCACGCTAATATCCGCAGCCTAAAACGTAATTTAGAAAATTTTCAAACTCATTTATTAGATGAACTAGATTTTCATTTTAATATCATAGGCCTAACAGAAACAAGAATAAACAGCTCGACTGAGAACTTAGATTTTAATCCTTCGATTTTGCATTATAATTTTGAATACCTGCCAACGCCTCTTTCAGCTGGAGGTGTAGGCATGTATATTGACGAGCGATTTCAATACCAAACAATAGAGAGGTGTTCTAATGAAGTCTTCCAGGCACTTTTTATGGAATTACATCTTCCCAAAAGTGCAAACATAAAATGTGGAGTATTGTATAGGCAGCATAATTCCCCTGAGCGTTTTCAGGAATATATTCTGATTCGACAATGGAAAAGCTTAGTGCCACTGGAAAACAGATTATTCTTATGGGTGACTTTAATATAAATCTTCTCCATGTTCATACTAGTACTCACGCCCAACATTTTATGCT